AGGTTGAGGGACTTCCTACTCTATAAAGGGTTCATGGAAAAGGTTGACACCACTCTTTTCACCGAGAAGATTGGCAAGGACTTGTCTGTGTTCTAAATCTATGTGATGACATTATCTTTGGATCAACCAATCAATACTTTTATGAAGAGTTTGGGAAGATGATGGCTAATGAGTTTGAGATGTCCATGATTGGAGAGTTGAGTTACTTCTTTGGTTTTCAAATCAAGCAATTGAAGAATGGTACATTTGTGAGTCAAGACAAGTATATCAAAGATATGCTCAAGAAGTTTGGCATGAATGAAAGCAAAGCCATTAGTACACCAATAGGAACAAATGGAAATTTGGATAGTGATGCAAGTGGCAACATGGTGGATCAAAAGTTGTATCGCTCTATGATTGGAAGCCTACTCTATGTGACCGTATCAAGGCCGGATGTCATGTTTAGTGTGTGCATGTGTGCAAGATTCCAAGTCTCACCAATAGAAAGTCATTTAAAGGCTACAAAGAGAATATTAAGGTACTTAAAGCATACATAAAATGTTGGTTTGTGGTATCCCAAAGGAGCAAAGTTTGAGTTAGTTGGTTATTCCGACTCGGATTATGCGGGATGCAAGGTTAAAAGGAAGAGCACATTGAGCACTTGTCAATTGTTGGGAAGATCACTTGTTTCATGGTCATCAAAAAAGCAAAATAGTGTTGCATTATCAACCACCGAAGCCAAATACATATCCGCCGGTAGTTGTTGTGCACAAATTCTTTGGATGAAGACCACCTTGAATGACTTTGAAATCAAGTTCAAGAAAGTGCCATTGCTATGTGACAATGAGAGTGCAATCAAGCTAACCAACAATCCGGTTCAACATGCAAGAACAAAGCACATTGATTTTCTCCACCATTTCATAAGAGATCATCAAAAAAATTTGACATTTCAATTGAGAATGTGGGGACCGAAGATCAACTTGCCGACATATTCACCAAGCCACTTGATGAGAAAAGGTTTTGCAAGCTAAGGAATGAGTTGAACATATTGAATTTCTCAAATATGTGTTGATGCACCCTCAATTACATGGCATGCCTCTCCTTCGAGCAATCCAAGATAAAAGTTGATTGGCATGCATACATCCTTTGCTAAGGATATGTTTAGTGCATCTAGTCATTCCTCATGTTTTATAGGCTCATTCATGAAAATTAAACGAAATTGATGCTTGTATGGTACTACTATTGCTTCTATGCTTGACTTGATATAGAGGTAGCATATGTCATATTTGTGGGCTTGTGAACCTAGTGTTTATCTAGAAAATGAGCTATAAGTGTTTAACTCAACATGGTCAAGATATCCCTTGAAATGAGGTGTGAAAAAGCTTGTCCTTAGATCAAACCAAGTTAAATATTTTTTGCAAGTGTTCTAGATTGAACCAAATTTGGGAAAATAATCCTCACCCCATTGATTAACATTGATAATCTTAAACTGTCTAAAATTGAACTTTTGTAATCATTGATGACAAAGAGGGAGAAGTAACTCACAAAGATAGGGGGAGAGAAACAAAAATAAGTAAAAGTTGACAAAGGGGGAGAAATATGAAAATAAGGGGATCAATTAAAATTTAAGCACACAAGTAAGGGGAGCAAGCTCATAAACTTGAATGTGCATTTCATATGTTTCTTTGCATGGCACAAGTTTTAAATTAAATTTTTATGCTTGTGTGGTGTATGCTAGTTGTAGGTTTGATTGATAAAATGAAACAATAGCATGCATAGGATGATAGTTAGATATGCCTTGCTTTGTTTTCACAAGTGGTACTAAAGCCTTTCATATAATGTTGATCTCACCAGATATCTAGTGTTTGTTTTTGCAAGTGGTATCTAACTAACCATGGTGCTAAGGATGGTATATTGGTGCACTCCGATTGGTATCACGCTTCAAAGGTCTATCTCTTATACCTTAGCATCATTTAGTTGACATTACTCTCCCACAACTCTAATTCATGCATATGTGCAAGCTTCAATCCAAACTCTTAGCACATATGTAGGGGGAGCAAATGCTACCAATTCAAATTCATGAAACTTGTCCAAATCCTTTTACATATGGTAAATATGCTTGGGCAAGCAACATGGATTTAATTGAATTTCAATTCATATCTTTATGAAAGGTTTGTCATCAATTACAAAAAAGGGGATATTGAAAGCTCTAGTTTGGTTTTGGTGTATTGATGAAACTCTAAGTGCAAACCCTTTGTTCTAAGTGATCATGAGATACGGTAACATATTCCAAGTGGTGGAGCAAATGATGATGATCATGAAGATAGTGATGGCCATGGTGATCAAGTGCTCGGACTTGAAAAAGAAGAAAGAGAAAAATAAAAAACTCAAGGCAAAGTTATAACTGATAGGAGCTTTTATGTTTTGGTGATCGAGACACTTAGCGAGTGTGATCATATTTAGGATAGATAGCCATACTATTAAGAGGGTGAAACTCGTTGTAAAATACAGTTATCAAAGTGTCACTAGATGTTTTAGCTCATTGCATATGTATTTAGATTCAAGTGAGTGCTAACACCCTTAAAAATGTTTATGAAAATATGCTAACACACGTGCACAAGGTGATACACTTGGTGGTTAGCATATTTGAGCAAGGGTGGAGAAGTTGGAGTTGAAAAGGAGTTGATCGCGCTGGTCACAGGGTGACCAGACACGTTCGACTTTGGGACCGGACGCGTCCAGTATGTTACCCAGGCTCGGGCTTGTGTTGCAGACGTGACCGGACGCGCGTTCGAATTGGGACCGGACGCGTCTGGTATTTGGACCCAAGGTGAGCGACTAAGGCAGAGGTGACTGGACTCTGGCGTGCGTCCGTTCAATAGCGATCTGACGTGTCCGGTCATGCTCTGGACCTCTCGATGTAGTTTTTGACATGATCGCATACTCAGTACTTCGAGTGACCTGACGCTGAGCGTCACCTCCGGTCAGAGAGGGCAGCGCACGTGAGGGTGTGTGACTTGACGCTGGTTGCGTCAGGTTGGCAGTACCGGACATGTCCGGTCGCTTTCGAGCAGCTCTGAGAGCTCTCTGGACTCGACCTGACGCTGTCTCTCCTGCGTCCGATCACTTTCTAGTTGTGCATCCGATCAGTAGTGTTAGAGTGTGATAGAGAGAGCCGTTGGGACGCCAACGGCTAACTCATTTGAAGGGGACACGTGGCTCTCACGGAGCGACCGGACGCGTCCGATCGCCACACCGAACATGTCCGATCAGTGCACAGACTACCCAATAATTGAGCCAATGGCTCTATTGTTTGGGGGTGTTTATACATATCATTTGGCCGGCTTAGCCTCACTCTCTTGGCCATTTTTATTGACATAGCAACCTAGTGAGCTAAGTCAAAGCTTATGTCTTGTCTAGTGGTCAGTGAGGCTCTTTAGTTAGTCTTTGAGAGCTCACTAACTTAGTGGTAGTGACTTAGCCTCTTGTGTGATTTAGAGATCATAGATAACTAGAATGGTGGATAGGAGGCTTGTATTTTGAGTAGGCTAACGCAACACTTGCTTCGCTTCATAATTGTCTAACCACTTGTCTTAAGTGTTATTGTAGAAACTTTTATAGGTTATTCACCCACCCTCTAGCCATTAGGACCTTACAACAACAGAAAGTTAGTAATGGCTTCGGGAACACCAACGACGAGGACTTCCTCCTCGTACTCCTTGGCCACCTCCACGTATTCCGGGTTTGCTTTTGGCACGTCTCGATCATCACTAAACCTATATGCATGCAACATATGCAAGGATGATTTAACGCACCTATAGAAAAAGCACAACCTAAGAAGATTCATAACATCTATGGATAGATCATATTTTTATAAAGCTAATAAAATTGGTTTTTAGCATTTTTTTATTTTTTATGATTTTTTGCGAATTTTGCAAGATCTCTATTTTTATAGATAAAGAGATAAACGAAAGAAAAGGAAAAAAAGAGGATTGCATGGGTTTGGTCCAGCCCACAATGAAGCCGGCCCAACTTAAAGGATTAAGCTCAAGCCGAAAAAGAAGCCCACCATAAGAGACCCACTTGGTTCTAGACATTTTGCATCAGGAACCCTAATATATTTTTAAAACTATTAATGCTCTTTCATTTTTTTTCTATCTGGCTTCTTTACATCTAGAACCCCGTATTTCTTTCTACTCTCTTCTCTACTTCTAATCTCTGTTCGGTTAACACAAATAGAAAAGAAATCGGCATACAGAGTACCGGACACGGGTGAGAGTGAGACCGAGCCGGATTTGGGCAGACTGGACGAAAAAAGTATGTCAGAAATTTTGCTTCTTTAGTATTAGGTATACAAACAATAAGTGACACCCCCTAATCACTCTTTTTCTGGTTTCATGATACTTATCCATTTGTCAAAACTCTTCGTCAGTTGCCTATTTAGGGCCTCTTTGGCACGGCTTATGTCGGCTTCGGCTTCATCTATTTTGCGCAAATCGAGGTACTGTAGCGTGAAGCCGTTTTGTAAGCCGGGGTTAAAATGAACTAGAAGCCGGAAAAAACCAGTTTTTCTGGATTCACCGGCTTTGGCTTCACCGATGATGCCGTTTTGGATGAGCCTTAGGAAAACAAGAGGGTCATGCAAATGCAGTTCCCTACAGCCGGCATCTCGACGGCAGAATCAACACGCCACGGCGACGCCACCGTAGGTCTCTCATCAGTTCTGCCGTGCGGTGGTGATTAAACAAACTATTAAATAATATACTCTTATCCCATTGATTATTCATCATTCAGATAAAGCAACACATGTCTAACAAGACCATGATCGCTTGTCCACTGTTTGTTAATTAAATTTGTTCTTACAAAGTTGACCAAACTGCAGCATTATTGACTCTCTAAATCCTACTGACAAAGCCTCAAGGCGAAGACTTAAATTTCACGAAAATGTATGTTCGTTCATGGTAACATTCCACACGAGGAATCAGCTTCGTACACTCTAGTAAACGTTCACGGCGATCACCATGTCCATGCTCAACATGTACCCGAGGCTCCAGCTCCAGGCGAGCTCCGTCGTCGACGACGCTGATGACAACGACGACGTCGACCGCCACGGCGCCTCCTTCGGCTACGGCATCGCCGTCGTCTGTGTGACCATCTTCGTGTTCTGCGTGCTCGTCTCGTTGTCCTTCAGCGTCTGGAAGGCGTGCGCCTCCGCCGCCCTGACCGCGCTGCTGCTCATCGTCGCCGGCTGCTTCGCGCCCAAGAGGTGGTTCCACCACCGGAGCCAGCGGCCGGGCGCGAGCACGGAGCTCGTTGTCACCGTCACGGCCGGCGGCGCAACCCGCCCGGGCTTCCCGTGCCCTCAAGTGAATGTGCCGCCGGCGTTCGCGTTCGAGTGCCCGGCGCTCGAGGCGGGTGGCGGGGGTGAGCGTGAGCCGGCGCCGCCCGCCGCGAGCTGCGTGGTGTGTTCTGTGTGCCTCGAGGACGTGCGCGGCGGCGAGATGGTGCGGCGGCTGCCGGCCTGCATGCATATTTTCCACGTGGGGTGCATTGACATGTGGCTGCACTCGCACCGGACGTGCCCGATGTGCCGGTGCGTGATCTCGCCGGTGGCTGCAGTGACACCTAAAGCTGCAGCAGAAGAGGCACCGGAGTCTTCGGATGACGATCATGACTTGCCGCCTGTGTAACTAGTAGTGACTTGCAACTGCATGTACATAGTGGTAGTTGCTCTTGAAAACGGTAGGCCTGATAATTTTGTGTAAACAGGATCGTCAAGAATCACAAAGATAGCACACGCTATATTTGAATCTCTTCTGTTTCTTCTGTGTTTTTTCCATGATCCTTTTTTCTAATTAAGTTTTAGACATGTCTGCAAAAATTTCTCCTAGGAAATTATGACCATTTCCTTTTCCTTGAAAGTTTTATTGCTTTTTCTTTGGGTAAAATGTTTTTCTACAGTATGCATTTAAACTTTTCGAAAAATTTTCTGAATTATTTTTTGTGAAATAATTTCTGAAACTTTTTTTTTGTTATTTTTTTGGTGCACGTATTTCATTAAGGGGTATATAGAATGAAAACAAACATTACTAGAAGTTTAGAAAGCTCAGACTGACGAAGTTTAAACGAATCTGTTTCTAAAAGAATCCATAAAGAAACTCTCCTAACAAATGTTAGTTTATGAATATGACCCAAGGATAAGGGAAAATAGGGGGAGGGGGTGGAGATTGTGCCGCAATTCAAAAAGGAATGGGCTAAATTGTCTTTTGTCTAGAAAGGTTGCCCGGTTACAAAGGCCAGCAAGTGTGAATTAGCAGGCCTCAGGCCAGTCTCAGTAGGAGTATCATGTGAATTTCATTTGCATTAAATAGGTTGCCACATAGGTATTTTGATGACATGATAGTGTATTTAAGAAGAGAGAAAAAATGAGTTTCATCTCGATGAAATTGTACCTCTTGGCACGATTACCATCTCTCTATGAGTCATAAAATTAAATCCCTATAAAACTATAGAATGAAACTTTGCATCAAGAGAGGGTGTTTCATCCAAGTTTTATTTCATTTTATATATGACACAACAGTTTTGGAAACAACGACAGGAAACTATCCACCGAGACCGGCATTATGTCCTGCTAGAAATATATAGCTCAAGGTCATTGCAATTTTAACCTTGGTTTTTTGAGTTTGTGATTATCCTTAGTCATTGAATTCGAAGCCACCATTCAGCCTTGTGTTTAGACTCTGTTAGTTTAATGCTGAATAAATAAATTAAATAAAAGTAAAAATAAAAATAAAATAAATAAAAGATGGTAGTAACCCTAAATCTTATCCTAACCCTCTTGGCTTTTGCTGATGGTTGTTAAATTTTGCTTAAATTTGAAATATTTGCAAATTTTGTTATAAAATTATTTAGAATGTTGTCTAGATATCTAATGTCAAAATAGAGGTTAAAGTCACAGAGTACTCAAAACCTAGGGGCAAATTCATATGGGAAAACTAATCTTTTTTATCGAACTTACATTGTCAACTCTTCTAAATGGAATAGGGGTGAAATCTGTGTTTGTTTTAAAAAAAATAGAGGCAAAATCACAAAGTTAAATAAATGAGGACAAAAGCAGAATTAGACTTCAAAATGAGGATAAGAACACAAGAGCCACAAATATATATGTCTGCTAAAGCTTGAGCTGGTCAAGGATTAAATATGCATCATTTCAAGAATTTTGAAAACTTATAAGTATGTGCTTCAAATAGGGTTTTCAAGATTCCGTCTGTCGGGTTCATAAACCCGGGGTCCCTCGGGGACCGGCTTCCACGCCAAGGCTCGGCCCAAGCAGGCAGCACACAACTCATGGGTCGGCCCAAGAGTCTAAAACAACAGGCCGGAAGGGCGGTCCAGTCACCGACCAGAAGGTCTGCCCGAAGAGGAACGGCGCCCGCTCGTCGACTACTTCGGCCCACCTCTCCAAACCGGAGCGCTCGCTTCGGACTCCAGCCACCTCCGGACGGCCTCTCCGATCGGAAGGCCTGGCCCAAGCGCTGCTTCCGACTCTGACCCCGCGTCTCCGACCGAGGTGCGTAGAAACCCTGCTCACCGCTCTTCTCCGACTGGCGCGACCTGAGCCGACTGGGGCCATCCGACCGGGGATGCCCGCTTGGAAGGAGCCAGGGACGAACGGAGAAAGCAAGCCAGGGCGCACAAGTCAAACCACGATACCGGGGACCATACCCTGTACGCCTGCAGGAATAGTACTCTGCAACCGTCCTGACACAAATAGTATTGTAGGCGCCGACATTTTCCTTCTACAGTATTGTGGGCGCCATTGACTCCCATACGGTAAGGCCCCCCACATGCCTCTGGGCATCGATAGTGTTGTGGGCGTCGGAATTTACCGTACCAGGAGAACGTGGTGAAACTCCTCGCATGCCTCCAGACATCAAACAGTATTTACAGGTACCGATGTCTACCATTCCTGAAGAAGGCAAACGCAACCTCCCACATGCATCTGACATTCTACAGTGACATCAACAGTGTTGTGGACGCCTACCATTATCTTGTACCCGTCGGCATGGGCAACAAAGCTCAGTAGCACACATACCCTCACCATCTCACTTGTAAAGCCATCCCCTTTATCTATAAAAGGGGATGCGCTCCCTCCAACAAAAAGATACCTTTTAAAGAACATTTCTTAGATTCATTAGATCAACCAAGTTCACTAGTCCACAACCATAGAACCGCCGAGTTCGAATCACAAGCGCACGCTTGAACACTTAGCTTATAGCGGGGCTCCTGTCACTCTCGGCCCTTTCGACCGAAGCTGATCGGACCTCTTGTACACCCCTCGTTTCTCCTTCTCGTTTGTAACCCCACTGTAGACTTCGAGCACCTGGGCTCAGGAATAAAGTCACCAACCGACTTAAACTGGACGTAGGGCACGTTGCCTGAACCAGTATAAACCCAGTGTCATTGAGTGTTAGGCCACCTCCGATCACAACGTACGGCAAAACTATAAATATTTACTAGTTGGTCACATTCTACACCGACACCCTCGAATGAGGATTTTGCACCAAATGGGTAAGATAAAATCCTATTGAAAACACTATTGAAACACGTACTTATAAGTTTTCAATTTTTTTTGAAGTGATGCACATCCATAGTCCATCTAAAGATTTACATTGTATCAAAAGTTGAGATGCAAAATTATTTTCGAAAAGTTCATAGGAAATAACAATTTTTAGGTGCATATGTACTAGAATACAAAATCATAGGATTTCTGTCCTCTAGTGCACATGCACATGAATTTTGTTGCTTCACATGATTTTTTTTTCTAGACTGAATTTGTGTCTCAACTTTTATACAATGTCTATAGATGCACTATTAGTATGCATTATTAAAAAAATGAAAACTTATAAGTATGTTTGCTAACGGGGTACGGTTGCACCGAATAAGGAGTTTACAACCAAATATTTACTGTCTAAATAATCGGTGCAAACTTCTCATTCGATCCCTATTTAAACACATACTTACAAGCTTTCAATTTTTTTTTGAAATGATACACATCCATAGCGCTTCTATAGATGTATATTGTATGAAAATTGAGATGCAAAGTCATTTTCCAAAAATTCATATGAAAATAATCTAGGTGCATATGTACCCGGATATTTACCTCCGTTTAGTTTAGTTAAAGAAAAACATTGTTTTTCTTTTGAAAGAAACCAGACATATGAGAGTTGTCGATTATATTAAAAAGAAGATACCCAGACTAGGCAATACAACAAAGTAACAACGGTACCCAACGACAAGCTAAAGGCAAGACGACGAAGACAACCACTACAACAACAAAAAGCAAGCATCCCAAAGCAACCACCAAGGTTAACCACACACTACCGGAAACCGGCACTTTGCCGAGTGCCGGAGGCTTTGCCGAGTGTATTTTATCGGGCACTCGGCAAAGACGGTCTTTATCGAGTGCCAAATAAAATACACTCGGCAAAAAAAGCACTCGGCAAAATGCGTCTTTGCCAAGTGCCTTTTTTCTGGCACTCGGCAAAGATGTATTTTGCCGAGTGCTATTTTTCGGCACTCGGCAAAATGCGTCTTTGCCGAGTGCCTTTGTTTTGGCACTCGGCAAAGAGGCATTTTGCTGTGTGTATTTTTTTTGCCCTCGGCAAATCAGTTTTTCAAAGCAATTTTTGAGGCCCTAAATGAATTCAAATGAAAAACTTTTCAACTACAAAGTTGTATAACTTCTCAAGATCTACAGAGTTTATTTTGGTCATTTCTTCATTTGACAAAGCGACAATAACGTTGTTCATAAAATCTGCATCTCTCATATCTCTCATATTAGTTTCATTAAAGTAGAAGAGAGATATATAAGATTTGTGAACAATGTTACAACCACTATGTCGGATGAACAAATGACCAAAATAAACTTTGTAGATCTTGAGAAGTTATGAAATTTTGTAGTTGGCAACATTTTGATTTGAAATCATCTTGTCATGTAAAAATGACGTTTGAATTTGAAAATTTTAAAATTTGAATTTTTCAAAAGACCTCGGATGGAAAAACTTTCTAAATGAAAATTATAGATCTCCAAAAGTTATGAAACTATGTAGTTGACAACCTTTTGATTTGAAATCATCTTATCATGCAAAACTACGTATGAATCTCTCAAATTTAAAATTCGAATTTTTCAAACAACCTCGGATGGAAAAACTTACTAAATGAAAATTGTAGATCTCGAAAAGTTATGAAACTTTATAGTTGACCACTTTTTGATTTGAATTCGTTTAGGGCCTCAAACAAGCAATTTACTCTCGGTTTAGTATAATATATGATGATAGATAACGGAATCCAGACACAAGTGACAGTGTAGTGCAGTGGTAGAACAGCAGACACGCGAGGGAGAGGTCGTGAGTTCGAATCCCGCGCCGGCCACGTTAGTCGCGAATTTAGCGCAAAAAATGCAGCGACTTCGATGGAGACGGGCAGGCGCTGGCCGGTGGCGGCCTCCCCCGAAAAAAAATGAAAATTTTTGCTATTATTTTTTGGTTTTTTCGTATTTTCATTTTGCCGAGTGTAAATCTTTGCCGAGTGCCGTCGTGACACTCGGGAAATCTTTTGCCGAGTGCCCGACATGCGGCACTCGGCAAAGAAGCATTTGCCGTGAAGGGATATGGCGACAGCTCTTTGCCGAGTGTAATTGCACTCGGCAAAGCACGCGTCTGCTGTAGTGACAATAACTGACAGCAATAGGAGAAAGGCTCGACAAAACAACACAGTCTACCGCATGGCAAGCGCGGAGAGCACCTCTCAAGAAAACAACAACGCAGTCTAGCGAAAAGGCAAGGAGATCCCCGCTACAACAACCTCCCAGAAAGCACAACCTTCTGTACGCATGTCGCGGTGACAACAATTTATTGCATTCTCATTGAGCTTCCCATCATTCCTAATAATCCCCAAGTTTTTAGAACTTTGTTCTTGGCAAGACGGGCGCTTCGCCGAACCAATGATTTGTCATAAGATTTGCGTCCGCGTCTCATCGCTGGTGTCATTTTTTATGAAACCATCGCTGGTGTCATTGGTGGTGGTGCATGTACAGGAGGGCCTATACAATCTTCGATCTCCAAGTCGATGGTGTCCATGTCCTCCTTTGGTGGATCATCTGGTGCATTTGGCTCTTCTGCCTTCATCTCATCAATAGACTGAGTGGGTCCATCTGCCGCGGTGATAGCAACAATAGGGTCCTCAACTGTCCTCTCTGTGTCTATCTCAACTTCGTCTTCGTCGTTCGGATGTATCCTTAGATTGTTCTCGAGCTCCTGGCTTTCTAGGTAGCATACTGCAGCTGCACAGGATACTACTGCTACTCTGATGTCATTATGTGAAGATATATTATTCCAAATCCATGGAAAGGGTGCTGCAAACAGTAGTGTTATTTTTGTTTTGTTCCTAACAAAATCTGGGGTCCTTCTCGGTTGCATCTTTTTTTACAAGAAGAGGCAGGCCTGTTGCCTTCAGTTTCCACCACACGGCAAGTCGGCATTGCGTGTATTCATCGGCGAACATTCCCCGTCGCTGTTAACAATCATTTACCATCCCAGTCTGATCTTCCACGACAAAAAACCAGCAGGCGGCGGGCGCCTGAAACCGTACCAGAATTGACGCCTCAATCCTCCGTCTCCCGTCAAACAACCACCGCATTTGTCTGCCGCGCAGCCGGCGCTCTCCACAGTAGAATGAATGCCACGCCGCGCGCTACTAATCCACGACCTCCAGCCCCCAGCGATACGATACCTATAAATTTCTTCCCGCCGCGAGCTACACGGCACGGCAAACGACTTGTGCAGCAGCGCGGTCGGCACTCGGCAACCTGCGGCAACAAGCGACAAGCCCATACGGAGTGAAGACAGAGGAGTGCGCATAGCTAGGACACGCGTGTGTGTGCCTACCTCAACAAGCCGAGTTTGCTGATCATGCCGACCCTGCTCTCCGCGAGGTCCCGCGGCAACAACCGCGGCGGCGAGGCGGCCGACGCCGACGGTGGGGCTGGTGGAAACCGCGCGTGCTATGGAATCGCGGCGTGCTCGATGGCGCTGCTCCTGTTCTGCGCCCTGGCCGTCTCCGTCAGCCTCTGGATGGCGTTCACGTTCGGCGGACTCGCCCTGGTCGCCTTCGGCGCCGCCGGCTGCCTCGCACGGGGGCCCAACCGCAGCAGCAACGGCGTGAGCGCCCAGAGAGAGGCAGCAGCAGCAGCAGGAGCCGCACCGAGGACGCAACGCAGGTTCGGGCTGCCCAAGGCCGCGATCAATGCGCTGCCGACGTTCGCCTACGAGCTTATCCTTATTAGAGGCGCCGACGGCGCCGAGGGCGAGGGCGGCGACCTCGAGTCCGGAACGGAAGCGGCAGGCGGCGAGCCGTGCTCGGTGTGCCTCGAGGACGTCCAGGCCGGCGAGATGGTGCGGCAGCTGCCGGCGTGCAAGCACCTGTTCCACGTCGGGTGCATCGACATGTGGCTGCACTCGCACCGGACGTGCCCAGTGTGCCGGTGCAACCTCTTGCCACCGCCGAGGAAAGTCGCTGCCAAAGCGGCGCCCGCGCCCACAGCTGAGGCTGCGGAACCGCCGGCTGACGAAGCCCTGCCACCAGTGTAGGTGTATGTGTTTTGTCATACTACCATTCTAGAGATGACAAAAGAATCTCTGCACATAGCACACGTAAGCACCTAGCACGTCATAAACTAGTTGAAATGTAACTCTCGCAAAAAAAAAGGTAGAAATGTAGTAGCTATTTTTTTATTCTTTTCCCCGATAATACTGTAGATGATCCTGTCTATACAACTATGTTCCATAATATATGTAGAACAGAGACTGAAAGAAGTATATGTATAAAGTTTGACAGATGACATTTCAGCTATGTATAAAGTTTGACAGCTGACATTTCAACTATGTTCCATAATTTGCAAATCTTTCATTTGGAGCGCTACAAATCATCCTCAAAGGGACAAAAATTCTATGATACTACCTCCGTTTTCTTTTATACAAGGTAATAAATAGCGGACAGTAGTGGCCGCAATTGCGGACGCAATAGCGGTCTACGAGGTAGCGCTCTTAAATTTATGATCGCAATTCTAAATAGCGGGCGATATTGCGGGCCGCAATTGCTCGTAGCAGGCCGCAATAGCGTGGAAACAAATAACCCTAACCAGCCCTAGCCCTACGACTCACCCCCCAACTCACACAGTCGCGCATCAGATGTAAAAAACATCAATTTTTCATCTTACTGAATACTGAATACTGACCTTTGCAAGATTTTGTGATTATATTGATACAGAACTTGCAATTTTCAACCATGAGGCCAATGATGTTGTTGCTTCTGACAATGACAATGAGTGATAGCCTTGTGAACTATGGCTGATAAGTCATAATATGTTTGTTTGCAAACTCTTAATGTGATGATTTAATGCATGGAACACAATGTTTGTTTTCTTAATTTAAGTATGTGAGTCATGAGTTCTTTGAGTGCAACTAAATGTATATTTATACTCATTATTCATGATATATGTACTTAAAATTATATGAGATATCAGGGGCCGCTATTAGAACTTATCGTCCGCAATATCGCCTGCTATCCATAATCCGCTACCTCGACGTCAATCCGCTATCAACCCACTATACGCTATTTATTACATTGCTTTTATAATATGCAGTTTGACATGATACGGTCTCTTCAATTACACTTTAACTATTTTTTGTTTTATATTATATTATTTATGATTATAAATCTATGGTAATTGGATAGTACATTTGATTACAAATCTAATTATATCAAGTTTGTATTATGATAGTTAAAAATTGTTAGCTAATTAAACTACTTGTTAACGATTTTAAAGTTAAATCTCGATATGCATGTGCACTTTATAAAAGAATATGGAGGGAGTATCAATCAAATAAAGATTAAGGGTGTGTTTGTGGGTGAGTGGAAACTATGGTGGGTTGGAGGTGTGGGACCGAGGGGGTGGGGATACCATTGTAGATCTGAAGACGAGCCAGCGGTATGGGAAGACTAATTTGCCCATGGATACGTCGGGGCATAGGATATAATGGAGAAAAGGTTCTGAGTTTGGGTTGAAACGATGTTTTTTTAGGGAAACAGGAGGGGTTGCCCCTACTGCCTTTATTAAGCTTTATCTAAGTGAATCCTAATACAAGAGGTTCAAGAAACAAAGAAAATAAGAAAAATTACACAAAACCTTCTAGCCATTGACTAATGAGAGGTTGGTATGTTGCTTTTGCTCTAAGGATAACTTGAGCAAATTCCTTTTTGAAGATTGCCCTGCAGCGCTGCAAAGAAGGTTGAATGCCTTTGAAAATGAGATCATTACAGACTGACCAGATGGACCAACATATTGTTTTTTTGACGGTAAAGGACCAACATATTGTTGCTAGAATTTCCATGAAGAAAGGCAGATGCAACTGGCTAACTTACTCGTCTCTATTGATACATGCTTGGCAAAGGGTCTGCCGGTAGATTTTCAAAACAAATAAAGACATAAAAACATGAAGGGTTTTTTCTTTTGAAATATGGAGTCATACAAGTACAACGTACTTCTACGCTAGCTTGAAAAACTTGTAAAATCAACCGACCATCGAGTTATTAATTGTATCCATGTTTTTATTTTCCGAAAAAAAAAACTATCTCTCTGGTGCATCTCTACATGATGAGTAATATCGCAGTCAGTATTTGGCCTGAGAAGATCTGCTTGATTATGCTGACAGGTTATCAGAAAGCAAAAGGACCAAATCTAGCTAGCTCTGTTGACTTTATTTGCACGACAACATATCCACTTCACATGATCAACACACAATACTTCTCAAAGCAAGCAGATCGAAACATACAACAATAGGTTGAACATCCATGGCTAGAGCCAAGCATTAAATATAAATAAACCTAAAACTAATTACAACGACCTACAATAGTAGGCTAAATAACAAGACAGACAAACATTTTTATCTAAACGACCCTAGGTTGAACATCCATGGCTAGAGCCTAGAGACACACCTACAATTACAACGACCTACAATAGTAGGCTAGAGAGACAGACACATACAACGACTGTAAGGCCCCGTTTAGATAAAAAAAAAATTAGATTTTGGCTACTGTAGTACTTTTCGTTTGTATTTGGCAATTAGTGTTTAATTATGGATTAATTAGGTTCAAAAGTTTCGTCTCGTGATTTCTCACCCAACTATGTAATTAGTTTTTTTTCGTTTACATTTAGTATTCCATACATGTATCACAAGATTCGATGTAACGGATACTACGCAATATTTTTTAAATCTAAACGGGACCTTAAGCTGAGGGGAGAAGAAGCATGATACTGACATAAAGGAAACCGAGGGCAGCACCACCTGACCACCAGAGCTATCTAGCTGGCCGAGTACGTACGTGGCTGCCACAGAACTAGTTGTTCATCACCTTCTCCTTCTCGGCCTCCTCGCGTTGGGAGCGGTGGCCATGGCCAAACCTTTTCTTGATGTCCTTCCTCCACCGCTTCGCCATCTTTTCCTCCTCCTCGTCATCATCGTCCTTGTTGTTGTTCTTGATCTGATGCGACAGCTTGTTCTTCTTCTTCTTCACCGATTCGTCCTCGACGTGGTGGTGACGACCGTGGATGCGCTTCTTCGTGTTCTCCTCCTCCTTGTCCTCGTCCTCCTTTGCCGGAGGTGCTTCTTTGCCTGCTTCTCCTTCTTCCCCTTGTCGTCGCCGTCGTGGTGCTTCTTTGTTTTCTTCTTCCCCTCTTTCTTCTTGTTTGCCTTCTCCTTTTCCTCCTCATCCTCGTCCTTGTCTTCGTCACTGTCCGGGTGCGACCGATCCGGGTCTGGCTCCGCAACGGGCTCCACCGGCGATCGATCTGGGTCTGGCTCCGCGACGGACTCCACCGGCGACCGATCTGGATCTGGCTCCGCAACGGGCTCCACTGGCGACCGATCCGGGTCTGGCTCCGCAACGCTGGATGGCAGGCGGAGGAGTCCCTCCGCATCCTCCTGAACTGCGTGCACCTTGGCGGGGACGACGGCGCTGTACGAGGACGAGGCGTTCGTGGCGGAGTCGGCTTGGAGGGCGTCACAGTGAGAGACGACGATGAGGGTGGAGAGGAGGAGGAGGAGGAGGAAGGCCATGGTGGCCGACACGCCCAGGGCCATGGTAGGCGTGCTTGCGGCAGTTCCAGCCACGGGGAATGGAAATATGGAATGCGATGGTGGACTGGATAGGATGCAGAGAAGAAGAGGACCGAGCTGAGGCCTCGAGGGAGCAGGGAGGCAGTGTGGGTCCCACATACATACGTGGGCCTAGTTTTGCGACTCGGTTGCAGGATGGGTCAAAGTCAAACGGCTTGCTTACTGGCTGCAACAGTTCCACTAAAAAAAAACTGGTTGCAACAATTGCCGATTCCTTTTCTCCACCCCAATCCTAAAAAAAACACACGCCAACTACTAGGCACTGACTATGCTACAGAATAGAAGTACATACCACTAGAGCATGCCCTCATCAACACATACGACCTTCACCTGTGGAAAACTGGAAACCCGGCAGGCTGCAGCTAGTGCACTGTCTTTCATCTCAATTTCATAATTGATCCGAACTTTTTATAAATATTTGAAAAACATTTTATTTGAATGGTTGTGAGAAAAAATTCATTCGCTAAAAAAAAAATCATTTAACAAGCCAAATTTAAGACAAGTTGAACGAGGGAAAAAACACCGTTCAGGACTAAAAACACACTGTGTGCCCGTCACTTCGTCACCGTATCCATTGATGACTAATATAGTATATAATAACGTGATTAACGACTAAGCAGGTGCCGACGACAGCGACCGGCCGGCCGGCCTAATCATCGGTTTCTTTACACCTTCGTTCATTCATCGGACCAACGAAAATTAGACGAAGAAACAAGTTTGTTGGCCAAGGATGCGTGGTAGTACGCGAGTGGCTACGTTGTTGTTAATTTAGTAGTTAGGGTAATAACGTGATTAACGAATATTTTAGGTAAAAACACAGCGGATCGGCGATAAGATAACCGGCCTAAAAATTAAATACCAACGTTAAAATGACATTTAATCCAAAAAGCAAAGTTTATGAATTTAACACGACCACGGAGAGCGCTTCGTTCATTCATCGGACCAACGATAGATCTTTTTAGACGAAGATAATATTTTATATCGCCAGGAAGAAATCTTTGATATTCACGCGAGTGGCTAATAAATCTTGTTAATAAGTTACTTGTTCCTTCCATACCATCATGTTATCAATGCCAATATATGTAAATATAGCTTGCATGGCTATTTAATGGAAAAAACAATGTCCAAATATATCTGTGAACATGTGTTGTGATTTACCTATAAGTATGATGAAAACATCATATTACATAAGTCTTCATGTTGTATAGATATTATAAAGTTCAAGAAATCACATAGTATTTTAAAATTTGACTATAAACCATCTTTTAGGCCCTAGCATGTACACGTGGGACAAAGATAATATCTTTCAAAACAAGATAATTAGATTTCCTTTGTTGGTAAATGGATGCATAAACCATCTGGACCAATTCCCAACCCTCAATATATATCATGTGTTAACAATCAATAGTGCAATAGGTGTCATCATAGTCCCTATTCTATGTTGTTGTTTGTTCATCATGCAATTGCATAGCATTTATAATTTAGCACGTAGGTTAAGTCGTGGCGATCCAAAGCTTAAGTCAATAATAGAATACTAGAACTCTTGAGTCCACAATTTAGATGTATCAAAACATCTGAGAGTGGACATGCTTGCTAAAGATGGCATTAAAAGGCAATATCTAAATGAGCTACGCATTGCTCCATCACCGATAGAAACATGTTTCATGGCTTCACATAAAAGATACCATTACCAAAGAAACAAGATCAGCATATGAAAGCATAATTTTTGCCAACACGCCAAAACATCCACACTCATGTCCACCAAAGACGAAGAGGACTTCATCACTGAATGCATCATCAAATGCGCTTTACCAGAGATCAATAGAAAAAAACTGATGTTGTTAATCACCTAGAAAGCCCTAACAACCTTCCAATCTTTGGAGTTGTGCACCACCTAAAAAATGTTCTCAGATCTTTGCTTTTGTATTGGAAAGTGTCATTTGATGTGGTAATGGTTGGCTCTTGGTGTGGGGCTATAAATAGGACTTGTGGTCGGGCTTGGCCATGCTCTTGTAACCCCAAGTTGATGCCCACACCCTTTAGAGCTTGAGTTGCATTGAATCACATTTGGGTGAGATTGGAGAGGCTCTAGTGCATTTGCATCGTCGATTTGCTTCTCATGGCACTAGTTGAGCAGCGTGGCGGCATTGATTGTTCTTGTTACTCTTGGTGATTGCCTCACCTAGCTGGCTTGGAGCTTGAAGGATCGTTGAGGGCTTGTGGTGATTGTTGCCGCCTCGGATCAAGCAATTGTAAGGGGCTCTTGTGCTCATGCCCAGAGGAGATTGCGAAGAGCAACTCTAGTGGAATGCTCGTGGCTAGTTGGAGTGCTTCTTGTGTTTGATTCTTGCGGAACCCGTGTTGTGGATCTCGCTTGAGTCGCTAGTTAGCGCATGAATTACCACATTAAGACTCGCCACAACGAGGATGTAGGTTATCGGCAAGCAACTAGACCTCTGGGATAAATTGATTGTCCCCCTCTTGCCCGACTCGATATAAAGCTTCACACTTGTTCATTGCATTCATAACTTGCTTAAGTGAAATAGAGCTATTGCAAGTAGTGGCTTTTAGGGCTTGCTATTACTAACCACCTTGCTCTAGTGTTTTTGTATTTGTAGAGAAATTGTTATAGGCTATTCACCCCCTTAAGCCATTTGGATCCTTTTAGTGCAGACATTGGAGGCTATGCATAACGGCTACATGACTTTGAGGCTTTGGCTGTTTGGGCCTCAAAACCATAGGCACAATTGTTTTGGGGTTTGTGCCTCAAAACCTAGAAGAGGCTTAGGTCAACATGTGGCATCATCGGAGAGCTTTCATTGAGGCAAAGTAACTTCATGAAGGGCACATGGTTGTCTAATGCATGGAACTCAAATAGGACCATTTCACCCTCGGTGGCTAGGTGGTTCAATTCTAAACCTATAGACACTCTTGGAATTGTGTAATAGCCCCATAAATAAGAGATGTGGCTGCCCAAGACAGCCATCCTTTCGCCCTTTAGGCTATAGAGCTTCGTGGTTTTAGAGAGATTAGGCTATAGAGGAGTGATTGCCTCTCAGGTTAGTTTCTCAGCTGAAGTGGGAGGATGTTTGCGAAGAGGCTAGTCTTATGTATAGATGAATTCATGGTTAATTGATTAAAAGTTTGATGAAATTTTGAATTCATCTATTCTCTCCTCCATTTTCTCCTTTTTAGTGATTTTAGTGGTCATTTTTTGGAAGTTGTTCTTGCTACTGCTTAGTCTGATCTTTTGGCACATTTTTGGATGTCTTTGGGACCCTTGGAACTTAACCAAATCACGTCTTGGAGCCAACTTCTGTCTCTTTGGTTCTAAGCCCCAAAACCCCTCTTCTCATCCTTCTTTTGGTGAATTTTTTGAGAATCTTTAGAGCTGAGTTTTCATGGTCATCTTCCTCACTACCTAGGTGCTATGAGGTTTTGGAAACATATTTAGGCTTTGCCTCCATCTAAATTCTTATGACGAGCACCCTTGAAACCTCCTTCTCAAGAAAAATGTGAAAATCTCAATTTGAGAGCATAAATACAAATCTGATGACCAAGTTTGGGCAAGATCTACCTTCACTATGTTCTAGGGAAAAAGTGTACAAAATTTTGTGTCATTTGGAGTTCATTTCCTTAGGTTTTGACCTTTTCTTCAAACATTCTTGGGCTGAAATATGCAAAAACATGCTTAGCTAGGTTTCAAAACTGGCCTATGCGGGTTTGAAAACAGGATTAGCTGGGTTCATATAGGCTAAGCTGGGTTACAATCTAGGCCTAGCTAGTTTTCTCAGAGAAATTGTCTTTTGCATTGTTTCTTGTTCGTGTTGCTTCCGCAATGTTTTTGAGCCATCTCTGATCAACTCTAAGGTTATCTTGTCACTTGTTGGCATGTGTGACCTAGATTTGTAGAAGCGAAGTGTTTTGGATTCATTTTAGGATATAGGCCAATTCTTGAAAAGAATTTTGATTGGCTCCCATTCATCCCTCTTTGTCGTCGTCTCGGTCCTTCAGCTAGGTCAATTGTTGTAATTTTTTTGGTTTTCCATTTGTAAAAACTCTTTTGATTTTAATAATAAATTCCTGGTAGGGGCCTGACCCCTCCTATTTCCCTCAAAAAAATATTTTGTCCCTAACATAGTTCCAAAGTTCTTGAATTTATGACGTGATTTAAATGTTAAGAGCTCTCTAAAATTCTATAGGAGGATAAACTCTTTTTTTCAAGAAGAAGAACCTCTATTAACTGCACTGGGAAGAACACAAGCCGACCATAGGAGATATTATAGGACACGTTTGATTTTTTGGCATTTCGCTCCTATACTCCTAGTTTGCTACTTTTCCCCCAACAAATTAAACTTGATGGTTTCTGGTGGTGTTGATGCGGGACGCGAGAGAAGTATGCAGTATGCTGCTAGGATGGGCTGAAAAGGCTGGGATTATATTCTAGGAAAGGAAGTGGGGTGGTGAGATGACATTCAAACGGACCTTTCTATAAATCTAAATAGTTAATTAGATTATTGCATTTATTTATTGGTCTTTTTTGCGATGAACCTTTATATTACTCAGAAAAGTTATTACATTTCTGAGCAAGTATATGTTGCACACACAGGCGTCGTTCCAAACCTTAAACAACTCTCTTCGTGTGGAAGTTCATGGGCACTACCATGCATATATATGTTCTCTCTTCGTGTGGATCACTCTCCACTCTGGTAATTTCAGCCTCCACCGCTTCATCGATAATGAAGCATATCTCAGTCTGGTGGCAATTTTTATCTTGTATGTAGTATAGGCTCAATGCTCATCATGATTGGTTAGTTGTTGTTTTTTGGATAAAGAAAATATAAGAAAGTATCAACTGCTTCAATGTTTAATTAATCGCAAATAACAGTGGTACAAGCTTCAGTATTCTTTTGCGTGACCTAAGCATGTTGCATGTTTCAAATACTCAACGACAAAGTTTTCTCGTCGTACATACGGTCACAGATCAGAATCAGATTGATTAGTTGTTTTGTCGAGCTCAAATTGCGCATGCAGTGACGTACGGCACTAGAACAGGGATATGCACTGATGATCGATGAAGCATGGGGCGTCAAACCACCACGCATGTGAAGATTGAGTGCATGATGATACGTTCCATATATACTGATGTAATAAATAGATATAATAAACGGAGAAGTCCTCCATCAGCGGCACATGTCGTGATCGTTGGAGACTTGGAGCACTGCTGTACGGCACCGACTTGGTGGCCTGGCCATCGATGACAAGCGATCCCGAATCACGAGCACGATGTTATTGTACTCCACTTCGGAAACACTCCTCTTTGAAATTAAAACCCCTCCAAGCATGCTCGCTCCCAATTGAAAGGCAAAAGAGTCAGAGGAAGGCGCCCATCTCACTTGTGCGGACACTACCAAATCTGAAGGCAAGTGTCGTAGGCATGAACTAGTATCCATATCAAAATCAGTGTCGTTTTAATTTTTTTGCATATCAAACTTTTTGAAGTTTAACTAGATTTATAAAAAATATTAGCAACATTTGTATATTTAATAAATTTATTATAAAAATATATTCAATAATTAATCTAATAATATTTATTTTGCATAAAAATAATAATAATAATTTCTTGTTTATATATTTGGTTAAAATTAAAAATGTTTGACTTATCGAGAAATGAAAATGCCCAAATAAAAAAGAGTTTGTTTAGTAACATGTAATTTTGCCATTGTTTAATTATAGAAAAACATATATGAATTATCTTTTTAATTATTTGCCAAATATTGTTGCCTGAAAAATAAGGCACCTGAAATATAACAACTCTCTTAGTTCATTGGCCAGTTGTATGCTAAAGCGGTAATTAGGCATGTCGAAGCGCTGGTAGCAGCAAACATCAAGCATCAGAGAGTTGACAGGAGATGGGGTTTCAAAATTCAAAACTCGCAGCAATAAACAACTAAAACCACTGCGTATTATTGAATATATCACGATCTCTGGAAAAACAAAAGGCATATGCGTGCATAGAATCACATGAAACAACACCATGTCAAGCACACAAGCAGGCACGTACTACGTACTGTCATACAAGTGCGTAATAGTTAAGACGACACACCGTGGATAGAAGAAACACACTAGTAGTATAACACAGCAGGATGCCGGATGGTAATCAGAAGCAAAGCAGCCATGACCGTGAGTGGACGGATCGCTCGAACGAGACAGCTCTAGAACCGGTTCATGAGGCCCTTGATCCAAGCCATCACACCGCTCTGCTCATCTCCACCCGCCTGCTTCTCGGCCTCCTCGGCATGGCGGTGCCTGTGGTCGTGGTGGAAGAAGCGGCGGCCGTGGCCGTGGCCGAACCTCCTCTTCATGATCGCCTTCCTGAACCGCCGGACCATCTCTTCCACCTGTTCATCCTCCTCGTCGCTGTCCTCGCCGTGCTCAGCGTCACGGAGCCGCTTCCTCATCATATTCTTCTCCTCATCCTCTTCGTCGTGATGCTGATGGTGGACGAAGTGGAACCGCTTCCTGTTCATGCCCTCTGGGGCAGCCTCCTCCTCCTCCTCCACCAGCTCCTGGCCCTCCTCGTCGTGGTGGACGTGGTGGAGACGGTGGCGGCGCATGCCGTGGTGGAAGTGGAAGTGGAACCACCTCCGCAGCATCTCCTTCTTCCACGCCATGACCGATGCCGCGCGCTCGTCGTCGTGCCCGTCGGCGTCGGCGAACGACAACGGCTCCCTGCCCACCAGCTCCCCCTCTCCGTCACTGTCCGGGAGAGAACGATCCGGGTCCGGCTCGGCCACGGGCTTCACCTCCTCCGCCTCCCTGGCCTCCTCTGCGGCTGCGGGCAAGATGGCAAGGTGGCTCACCGCCTCGCGCTTCTCGCCGTGGCCAGAATAATGGTCATGGAACCTGCGCGGCGCGTCACGGTAGACGCCGTGGTGACGCTTCCACCAGAGGTGGTGGTGGAGGCTGCAAGGGCGGTGGCGGTGGAGCCGGTGGGACGGCAGGCGGAGGAATTCAAAATCATCCCGCTGCTCCGCCGGGACCGGGAGGGCCTCCTCGTCAGTGGAGCTGGCGCCCGCCTCGGCGGGGAGCGTGGGGTTGGACGACAGCCCATTCTCGTCGCTGACGGCAACGGCGGCGGTTGATTCGGGCTCGGCGGCGTGGTCTGCTGCGATTGCGACGGTGCGGCAGTGCGCGACGGCGAGGAGGGAGAGGACGAGGAGGAGGAGGAGCGCGGCGGTGGCCGACGGGCGGGCCATGGTTGCGTGCTCGGGAGGGGAACGCGGTGAGCCGGTGACTGCGACGCGGTGCCGGGCGGGGGGTCAGCTTCTGCCTTTGTAGGCAAATTGCGGGTCCCACAGTGCATGAGGTGGTGATGAGGTGACCGGGGAGCTGAAAGCCAAACGGGCTATTGGAGGAAACACAAATTTCCCAAATAGTGTACACAGGGAAAGCAAACAGTTTTGATGGCAATCAAGGGCCCATATATTTTCTAGCGGTTTCCTCATGTTATAGTTGTGTTGAAAATTATTTGTAATCTCATAAAGTTAAATTTTTTTAAGAATATATTTCAGAAAAAAAAACTAATGGTCAATGATATGCATTAAAAACTGTGCAAAGTCAAATATGAGCAGTATTTTTTTGTTAATCCAAAGTGCTTTGAGATTTTTGAAAATATGTTATTATTATATTAAGGTTCTATTTGGGTGGGGTTTTTTAGCAGCTTCCGCTCTAACTCTAAATAAATTCATAATAAATGCTAATGCAAGAAATACAATAGCTGTCTCCAAGAAAGGAGTCCGCAGTCACCGAGAGAACCGGTTATACCCACCGACCACCGTTGAAAATAAACTGCCCTCCATATGTCCGGTAGTTCAATTTGCGTATGCAGTGACGTCATCATGGATTGATCTTTGTACCCCGAGCATTGATGAACGGTAGCCGAACATTATTCAAATGCGAAGATCGAGATTCGTAATTCGTGTGAATTGGCGACAGATTTGGATAGGCTGATTAGAGCAAAGCTAATAGTGCAGGTTTAATTTACATTTACAGCCTACCATATGACTCACTCAAAAAATATTAGTTGTTTTTTAACGTTCTGTCTGTATATACACTTACAGGCCTCGTTCACTTTGCTGAAAAAATAAACCGAAATACTGTTCCGACTGACTTGTTGTGAAAGGAAAATACTGTTCCGGCTAAAAAAATAAACTGAAAAAGACGGATTATAAGAGAAGCGAACAGGACCACAGCATCTTTATCCGCTCCTCTTGAGCCTATGGCCCACTATTTCTCTCACAAAGTTTCTTATTCTTTTGCATCAGCTGAATATAAACTTATAGTTCACCCTTCTTCTCCTCCTCTCTCTCTCCAACTTAGCATTCGGCCTACTAACAACCTTTTATTATACTTGCTTTAAGCTGTCTTTAAATAGCTTCTCTTCTCTTTTCTCCCCCACTCCACCTCTACATAAAGGCCACCTACATCCATTTCCCATACTTGTTTTTCTACATGTTGGGATACGAGAAACAAACTGCTAGTTATCCAAATTTTACTCCCTAATACGTAGATTAAAATTTAGTACAACTCTAACTAGTTGTTAATTTACTAGTTACCAAAGATGCTAAATTAGCATAAAGCTGACCCAGAACAACAAAAGACGTAATACACTCCCACCTATCACTTTCTATCTTCTCTCTTCCATGTGCAAAGAGTAGTGTAGTATATCTGAGTATGGCTTACCTAAAATTTAGTTGGTATGTAAGGGTTCGTTCGGATTGACTAGAGCTAGTTGCTAACTATGACTAAAAATTAGTCCAACTAAAAATTAGTTGGTGTTGTTTGGATCCATAGCTAAATGTGCCATTTCTTTTTATCTCTTATAATCTCTCACTCACACCTCTCGGTCTCTCTTCCTAAATCTAACCACTTGGCTTCTCCTAGATCTCTCTCCCTCTTGGCCGGCCTACATGCCCCAGCAACAGACGACAGCGCAGCACCAATCCCTCGTCGGTTGGCGGTTCTCTTCCTAGCTGGAGCGAGGCAGCTCCTTCTGTCCTCTCGTTCGCCGCTCGTAACTCCGCCTCACACTCGCAGGATGCAAACAGAGGCTGACCATGGCGCGAAGCCTGAGCCAGCAGATGTCACGAGCGACGCAAAGCCTAGGGTAGAGGATCTGGTGAGGGAAGTTGTGGCTTGGGAGGACCTCACGACGATGAGGAGGGCGAAGATCCGACAGTGGGGTCCTCTCTCAAACATGGTGAAGAAGCCATCGTTCAGCGCTTCAATAAGAAGAGGGGCACAATCACTATTTTTATGACTAATAATATTAGTTTTAATCTTACTATTGATGTATCTATTTAAACTACTTAAAATTCATCTCTATAGCAATGATCCATGAGTAATTATATTTTATTAAAAATTCATATATAATATAAATTTTAATTTTAATGTTGTTTCAATTTAGTTTGAGCGTTATTTATTTGTTTTTATAAATTATATAAAAATACTCTATTTTATTTGTGTGTTGTTGTACATTATGTTATATATACTTTAATCTATTTATTTATTTGCAAACATTTTTATATATTATTGAAACAATTATTTAGTCATAGATTTTAAATTTCATATATTTAATAATTAAAATATTTGTTTGATTAATGAGTTATTTTGAATGAGCTATCTTTGTGAAAGTGTGTTATATACTCACATAATCCCTACTTGTATAACCATATTGTTCTTCCATAACTTTCGATGAAAACTAAAGATGTCTGATATCAATTAAATCAAGTATGGAGTCGGAGCTATCATATTCGTAGATTGTATATTCAAATTCTGCAAATTAACAGTTCTTCGAATACTATCCGTCGATCCATTTCCAACTCTACCTGTGCCCTTTAAAAAAAACTACCTGTGATGTGGCCTGCTTTTCCTGGCCAAATTCCTGAACACGGTAGTTTTCCTGGGCTGCTAGAGTGCTACTGCCTCTAGAGCTTCACGCATCAACCATTCAACCCAGCACAACGGCTCGTTCACCCGCCCTGGTTGGCAGCCCACGTGTTCACTGTCTGATTGGTCGGAACCCATCTGAACTCCGACCAACCTCGCGGGCTCGAGTTTTGTGGTTGTTGGGCTGAACTGCCTCTGAGTGCTTGGTCCATATTTGGGCTTAATTGGACTGTTATCTGCGTGCTCTCATACTGGGCTTAATTGAAGCTTTGCTCATTTCTTTTTTTTTTGTCCCAACCGACTAACCGTGTCTTCCTCTAAAAAAGCCAACTGTTTCTCTTTGGCTGAAAAGCTTTGCGTGACCTTGATGAGTTTACCCAATTACCCTTGTAATTAATGACCAAGCAAGTATAAATACAAGGCACAACTGAAGAGGAGCAATTTGCGAGAGAAAGAAGGATCACAGCGCGCGTGTCCCAATGCGAGAGAGAGAGAGAGGGAGGGAGCACAGCGCGCATGCACATGTGTTTGAGCCGGCTGCATGCTCCACCGTGGAGGACCACGGCTGGTGGTGTAAGGGCCCCTAGTGTAGCGCGTGCATGCCCACGAGTTAGGGCGCGTGGGGAGCATCACCTGTTGCAACATACTGAAACAAGGTGAAACAATTAAGACATACGTTTGCAACATATGTGTATAACCACTGCAACATATACAACATCTAGATAAAACACTTGCAACATGCGTCTAAAATAGGCGAAACATTCAGAACATACACTTGCAACATTGTGTGAAAACATATACAACATCCAGATAGAACACTTGCAACTTGCAACATAAAAACACTTGCTGCAAGAGAAGACTGAAATAGATGAAACTTTTTAGAACATAGTGTTGCAACATATGTGTGAAAGCATATGCAACATCTAGATCAAAACGCTTGCAACGTATGTCTAGAAACAAATGAAACGGTTTGAATAAACGCTTGCAACATGCTCTCTGAAAACACTTGCAATATATGCAACATATGCAACATCCCACGATACACTTTTGCAACATCCATATGAAACGATTGCAACATGCCTCTAAAATATCTAAAACAATTGAAACGTACATTTGCAACATAGGGGCAGATAGGCCTGGGCCGGTCTATTCCGGACGACGGGGTGGGAGAATGAAAGCAATGACAGTGCCTTACAGACCACCAACACCAAAGACTACCGTGTGAGCACCCCCACCACCAGCGCTAACGGCACCGGGCTTGGCTCGGCGGCGACGATGGGGGATGGGGGGCAGGGAGCGCCATGGCCGCCGGGGTGGGGGAGAGCCGCAGCGTTGGGGTTGGGCATGGCGCAAGCGCGAAAGGGATAAGAATGGGAGGAGGAAGCGAGGGATAAGATTTTTTTAACAAACATGCGGGCATAGGTAAAAAGGCGTCTGGCGATTGCGATGTGTCGGACGTCTGACACATAGCATTTCCATTTCTAGATGCATAGCTAAGTTGTGTATATTGAAAACCTATAAATTAGAATGGAGAGAGTAATTAATACTTAAATACAAAGAAACACCGGGACTCCGGGAGTAACAATGCTTTTTTAAGGCAAAACAGTAGCCACATGGTGGGTCTGCATGTAATGACAAATAAACAAAACAGAAATATTTGTCAGCATGTAATGTCAAAAAATTGAATCTACATGTGGTGCATGAGATGACAAAAAAAGAAACAAACTTGTCAAAAAAAAAATGAATGTACATGTGGTGGTGAACACATGAAGCCCCAATATTTGAATGTTAGCAGATATCACGTACTCGGTGCTCTCTCAGTCTATTGAAAGTGTTGTTTTTGAATTTTAGATTTCTTATTTAATCGTTTGACTTATTAAAAAATTTTATATAAATATTATTTATTTTATTATGACTTATTTTATCATTAGAGATATTTTAATAATAATTTATTTATTTTATTATTTATATAAAAATTTGAATAAGACCAATGATTAAAAAAAAAGTCTAAAATTAAAAACGATACTTTCAATGAAACGGAGGAGTATGGCGCGCTTGGTTACCAGTTTCTGAGCAGCCCAGGTTCGTGGGGTGCAGGCGTGCGGTGATTGGATGGCTGCACAAGCATCGGAACCTGGCCGGCGACATGCAAACAATCCCGCCGAGACTGGTTCCCAGGAAACGAGTCTCGTTTTCGTTTCTTGGGAGCCAGGCTCCAGCGAGCGCGAGAGCGCGCGCCTCGTGACTCGGCAAGACATAGCAAGCGCAACTATGAGTCAACTAACAGACAACCAAACAATAGCTCTTT